TAAAGGATAGGAAGTTATATATTTTGCTGAAGAAGTTATATGTTTCAGTTCGGAAGTTTTATAAAACACATGATATATTATATTTGGTGTTGAAAGTTTTATATAATACGACATTAGTATATATAAAACACGTAAGTATTATTGACACAAACGGCGCCCCATAATATATTATTTATCTATTTATTAATATCATGAATTTACAAAACAATCTTGTGATGTACCAACAACTTTTGTGTGTATATGTATATTTTGAAATTTATAAATCTATTTCCTTATTTACCAGTATATGTATTTTGTATATGTGACAATATTCTGATAAGAATAACGCACATATTTTATTTCATTTTGCATCACATTATTTAAAATGCATCCATTGGACAGCTTCATTACAGCATTCCATATAACTTTAATTTTCAGCACATGTATCCTGACCTTCATATCACACATTAAGATATATTTCCATCTTTGTTTGACCCTTACACAGTTTTTTAAGTATTTCATATCCAGCATCTCTATATTTGTTTGACTCAAACATTCAAAACCAAACATTCTATCCCTACAACTTTCCTGAAACATTATAACCACAAAGGGACAATTCATTATTTATGTCTTGGAGGGTGGGGTGGGGTTTGCAAGAATCAAAAATGATTTCATGTAAATATATCATCCAGTCCTATCTTCCCCCTGTTTTTGAAAATATTCAAGTCAAGTCACCCCCCTTCTATCTTGTATTATTGTTTGATTAGCCCCCTCACTTTTCTCTGTAAATCCTATGGCAGCCTCGCCCTAGACATGAATAATGAATGGTCTCTAATGGGCCTTATAAATATTTAACTAAAAGTGCGACATAAATATGATTGGTATCATTCTGAAGAAGATGACCGAAGGCAGTTGAAACATTGMAGAAAATTGCCAGGACATCCCTGAAGTAACCAGAACCACTAGATATAATTCTTATTATAAAATAGAGTGTCATATAGCCAAGCAAATTTGATCGCCATTGAAGACATAAATAAAGTYGTGTTATAACTGCTGCCAATATCAAAATGATCATCATGACATAGGCACGCGTGAGTTCCATGAGATTACCAAGTGCTACAACAAACTATTAATATTGATAACTCTCTTCAAGGACCTCATGGTGTGGTATACTTGGGCTACTTCTTAGGAAAATGCTTTGACCATTTATATCCCAAAATTTTCTCTTTGTCCACATTCATGGATTCCATATACCTTAATGCCTCATCATTGAAGGTATGATCCATTCTAGGAGCTCAGCGCTGATTGGTCAACCACAATTTATGATTGATGACAGTCGACCATTACTGAACAACAGACCATTTGACCATAATCAACCTTGCTCGAGCATTGCACAAAAACAGATTATCATTTGAATCTGAGTGATAATAATTGACAACAAACAATTGATGAAAATGATTGTTGATCTTGTGGCAAGTTGATCAGTTGCATTGGCCGAACAAGGTCAACCAATTAGCACTCTGTAATCAATTATCACCTTGTGTTTCACTAAAAAAATCAAAGGTCTAGTAAACCATGGTCATCATCATCATCATCATTAAAGTAAAAGTCTTCTTGGTCTTGCATCATCTGGAGGTGAGAGTAACCATAATCTTCAAACCGTAGCTTAGGTTTGTTTATACAGCGTTGGTAAAGATATCTACAGAGCACTGCACCAGCAACAACAAATACTATCACTGCCACTACAATAGCTGCTATAAGTTTTCCACTCAGTGAGCTTGGTCTAGATGGAGGGCTCTGTGAAATGAAGTAACCGTAAAACAGCTTTAAACAATCATATAGTGTATTTAACCTTGTAAAATATATACTTCCAACATAATCTATATTTTAGTTGAATGTTATTGAATTATTTGAACATGTCAGTAGCTGTAGTACAAATAAATATTCGCCTCTCATCTCTGGGGTCTCAAGTTTGATTCCTGAACTTGGCACCACTTGTGTAGTGTTTGTTATCTCTCTCCCTTGATTCAAGGGTCTTTCTCTGTTCTCGCCTCATCTCTGGGGTCTTGGTTTGATTCCTGGACTCCCCATCACATGTGAGTAGTGTTTGTTAGGTCTCTCCCTTGATTCAAGGGCCTTTCTCTGTCGAGTTATCCAGTTTTCAAACACTAAACTACTAAAGACCAAATGAATTTGATCTATTAAAGTAGGCCATGCCCTGACTTTGAACAGACCAAATATTGCTTACCACTTTATTCACTGCTACAAGCTGATCAAGACAACAGTGGCAACAAGGAAATAGGACAATAAGCTGCTTCCAATCAGAGAATATAAAGGTACTGACCAATTTACTTGATTGACAGAAGTGTATTACCCAATTTCCCTGTCATGACTGTTATCTTGATCAGTGCGTAGCAATGAAAAGAGTGGTAATGGGTATTAATTAAATATGAGGTATTAAAAACGTTTTGCTTTAGTTAATAAAGCAAATTTTAATAAATGTATCTGTTCCACAACTTTATGGGAGAGTCAAACTTACTAGCTGGCCACGTTTGAAAACGTTGCCTCTAATTGGGCAAATGAAATTTTAAACAATTAAGAATTCAGAATTGCAACATATAATTAACATTAATATACCTGCACTTTTGAGGTTGTTTGATTTTGACTGTTTGTAGTGTTTGCAGTTGTTGTATGACTAGATCTTGTTGGCTGAAATAAATGATGACCAGTCAGGTAAAGGTGCTGAAATACGAACTGAAATACGAACGTAGATMAACTTTTGCGATTTGTTGCTCGTTTTTCATCACTCGTCCAACTTGTCACGCAACATTTTATGTGCAGAAGTGGCCTCCATCTTAAATCATGTAGTTTGTAGCCAATCAGCGGGCAGAATATTACCGTGATAGTCCCAACTTGCAACATTAGATTTTGTTGCGTGACAAGTTGGATAGATAGGATGTAAAACAAGCAACATTGTTTTCGAACTTGCACCGCAACAATGTTGCGCGACAAGTTGGATTATTTTGTGTCTCATATTTCAGCGCCTTAAGGTGACAGACAACATACATAATTATGCTGATCATCTCCTTTATGCATAGAATATTAAGGGAGGGCAATGGTGCATCTAGGGAGGGGGGGGGGTGTAGGAACATGCCCCCCTTCCCTTGTGAATCTGAGGACATTAATTGAGTACAACAAAATCCCAATTTTGTACCCAGACCCTTCTCATTTCTAGCGAAAAATGGAATGCCTTCAGTTTTTCGCTAGAAATGAGAAGGATCTGGGTACGAGAATGATTTCATTAAAAATATTATCTGCCATTCTATATTTTATGAATGGATTGTGTAGTTCCAAAAATTATCCATACCYCCCTCATGGAGGAATTTTTTAAAGACACCCCCCTACCCCCCAGAAATTCCAATTTTCTTCCATACAAACGCAGACTGTAATTTTTGTTTTTTCTCTGACCCCCCTACTCTTCGGAAATTCCAAATTCCTCTGTGGGGTGGGTATGGATGATTTTTGGAAGTACACATTAAAGTTTAGAATTTTGCAATGGCAATTACAGATTTTGCACTTTCAATAAACTCCATATAAAACACATGTTCTGACTTTAAATACACTGATGTTTAACATTAGGTGCATGTATAATGCTGTTATTGAAGAGAGCAGACAAGAATGTTTTCATTTGTACAGAATTACCCTTGTGAATATTGAATGGGTAGAACTGTGGTGAAATATACATCACAGTGATCATGGGTTCGATTCCGGTTGAAGCTTGAAATCATTTTTTCAAGTCTTTCTTTAAAGCGTTCGCTTAGATCGCTCATTCACTGTGATGATCAACACATCTATCAGAATTACCCTTGTTTATAAGTCAGCCATTCACATACCATGAAAAGTCTGTGAGTATTTCAAAATTAATATCTGAATGGTATTTTTCAAGTTGCACATTCTTTACGTTACTGTTGACTTTGCAAATGATTTGTTTTTAAACAAGGCTATATTTTGATTTGGCATATCAAGCCTTCTGTTGTTTCTTTCCATGCCCTTGCTTCAAGGGTGTTTCTCTAGGTCCTCTAGTTTTTCATCACCTTCTTAATTCCAATTTGGATCCAGTAGGTAGAAGAAGAGCCACTGCATGCATGTGAATTAATTCCCATTTATTTATAACTTATATTTGTTTTATTTAACGAATGAGATAAGGTATTTACCTGACTGATTTCCCTTGGTTGATTCTTTCCACACATCACAGTGCTGTTCTGAACTATAACCCCAAAGGTGTTAGGTGACGGAGATACACTAAGCCATTAAAGAAAAGAAAATTAAGTTAGTATAAATTTGTACTTGAATAAAGAGTTTTTTGTGTTGTGATTGTTTGAGCAACCAGTGATTATGAGATCATAATCACTACTTGAAGAGGTTTTCCAAAGTTTACCAGAGCTGAAGTAACACTAAAGCATTTCCCTGATTTTCTCTGATATTGAAGTCTAAAATTATACTAAAACAATTATTATCTCAGGTTTTGTGATTATGGGTAATAGTTACCTCGAAGACTGGCTTGGTAAATTTCACCAATAATCGCTTTGCCTTTGGTGAATAATTGTTTTATAACTATTTCAATTGCTGTAATTGTTTTAATTGTTTTGGTTGTTTATCTAAAAATAAAATTCATGTAATCTGATGAGTGTACAGATGAACAGATCCAAGCAAATTGCACCTTAGAAAAAATAGGGTGGAATATCAACAACACCACAAGGAGCCTAGTAAAGAAATACTGCTACTTTTAATTTGAACTAGCCACCCTTGCAGCAGTATTTTTACACTTTGAGTGACCATTAGCCTGTGTGCAGCTAGGCTTTACAGCAACTCAACACTGATTAAATTTGGGCTGTATGAAGGCTAAGTGAATGCTAGGGAAATTATATATACAGTACAGGAAAACAAACTAAAGAAACTATTGCACTGCATTTTAGCTTGATTTTCCATTTGCTTGTGTTATGTTTGCCACAATCACAAATAACTGAAAATCGTTTTTACATTTTACTTTGATCTAAATTGGGCTCCCTGTGCCAACACAAAATGGTTGCAATATGTTAATAGAACGTTTTCTCAAGATTGCATGTGCATCCAACTTGACGGGCCACAAATACTAAAAAATGAAAATTCAGTAAAACTGAGAAGACAGTACTTTTATATTTAAAAAGGAGAATAATCGATTTTATGAATTTTCATTGAAAAAAATTTCATTGCAATACATGATAATACTCGTGTTCAGGTATTGTGGCCTGTCAAGTTTCTTAAATTTGGATGCGCACGCAACCTTGAGAAAACAGTCTATTGAAATACCTGTATTTTTTCATTGTATCGGTGATTACAGAAACACAAGAATCAAGAGAGTGGTAAAAATCTAATATTTCCTATAAATACATAGAAGAAAAAAGTGAATTAATTTTTTTTTTGCTTCAACTTGCAAATGTTGCATTTCTAATATTTTTAGAAGAATATGTATCAAATATATACAGAAATCAACACAAATATATAATAAACTGTTTTTATGTTGTGAGGCCCAATAGACCCCTTGCAGCACTTTGCAATGCAGCTCAATCTGGGGGACAAAACGATAGGTTCCAATTCTCAGGAGATTAGAATTCTTTTGTTTTGTCCYCCAGATGGAGCTGCTTTGACGTTACATGCAAGGGGTCCATAAGGTCAATCCAGTTATCATAATAAAAATAGTTTCACTCAAAATTTCATCCATAAATGCTGTTGACAGGCCTTTGGAATAGGGAAAAGTTGTATACCTCGGACCCCAGTGGGAAGAAAAGGGTTAATGACACTCATATTATATATATTATTTAAAATTTGTTCCAATCAAAAAACGGTATCCTAAAAATCGTGTGTTCTGAATGGCTGTGTGTGTGCGGCATATTCTGTTTCATATTGGGAAAATGGATTATTAAACAACAAAAGAAAAAAAAAGTTATTTCTGGCCTAAAGTCAGTCCTGATGGGGGAAAACTGTGCCCTTGTTCTTGAAAATGAACCTCTGCCATACGGCCTCCATTCCTATTAATTCAAGGCCTCAGGCACACATTTTTCCTCTCTGGATCACCTGGCTGGTAAATAACATATATTTACATAAACCCTACCTGGTAGCAAGAGCTGCTACATCTCTGGTTGTCTATGGCTTTTGTTACATCACAGACCTGAAATTTATGCAGTAACCAAAATCCTTTCAAATCCTTTCAATCCTTTCAATATTTTGTAAATAAATATAAAATTTGTGAAAGAATATGAATAAATTAAAATATATATTAGCATGTCAAAAATAGTGTTACTCTGACCTCTTCATCTTTAACTTGGGTAAATAATCCTTCTATAAAATAGTCAGTGCAGTATGAAACATGTCCTGGTGTCAGTGGCTTGGGTTCATAACAGAATGCATCCAAGACTTCGAATGTGAATCCTACTTTCTTTGATTCTGTCTGGAAGTGAAAACATGGGAAAGAATAGATTCTGATTGGACCATGTTGATACACACAAGAAACAATAACAATACTTCATTAATTATTAACTAATATTAATAATCTCTGTAACACATACTTTAGAATGTATGCAATTTTTCTCAACATCCAGAGAGATTTTCCAGCACTGATTCCTACACACTTGGTGTAAATCAACTTTAACTTTTTGAAACCATCCTCGTAAGATAGTACTCTTTGAAACCTGTTGTTGTAGACATCTAAACCTCCCTGAACTACAACTCTGTGAAAGAGAAGTAACTAACGTCTCCTCGCTGCTTGTTGTATCGTTAAAGAGGTTTAAGACAGTAGCATTACAAGCTTGTAGCTTCTGTAAATGTCTTGTACAATTTGATGTTTTCCATGAAGTAGAAAGGAGGTCACTGACGACGTCCTGTAGTAAACTGACACCAAAGGGTTTCAACAAAATATTGAAAAGTTGAACCTTTGAGGATGAATCAAAACCATAAGAAGCGTTTACAACCAAGGAGAGTGACACGAATAAAATGAGTGTTGAAAACATTTCATCGGAGGAAATAATTTTTTTTGAAGGAAAACAAAGTAAAAGGAGACGATTGTCGTAAAAGACTGAAAAGTGAAAAGTGACTTAAACTGAGCCCCGAAACACAGCTAGTCAGCGGATACATGCCTAAGTACCAGTCTCTTGAAAATGATCACGGCCAATATGGCGGACAGAGTGGAGGTTTACGTATTATAAAGAAACACTAAAAATGTGTTCTATTTGAAACAAGAAAGGTGTTGAATGCTGAATTGGTGTTCCAGGAGGGGTATTTTATGTAAGGTTGTTGGTGTATTTCCAATTATGAGTGGTTCACAAAAGAGGGTATGTATTCTTGTCCTGACCTCGCTAGTAGTTAGGTCGCCCTAACTTTAGATAGATGGGGAGGCTGAGGAAGGCAATAGCCTCCTTAACCCTCTCCTGTGTCATATATGACTTCTATGAAATAAGAAAACTGTGTTTTCCAATCAGTTCCAAATAAATGCTCAGCTGTACATTGCCGGGACTTTGATAATCAGTTTGGGTAAGTAATATTTGTTCTAATTTTGTTCTTCATTAAAGGTTCAAAGTACCAATGACAGTTCCATTCTCAGCAAATATTCTATGGTCAAAGCAGGTTACTTCAAAGATGATTTTCTGAAGCATTTTGTGACCAAAGATGCCAGAAGATCTCCCTTGATCAACAGGTGAGTAATTAATTGATAAGTTCTCTGGAACCCACCTAATTGAAACTGGGTTACTATAGCTACAATGCAGAACTTTGATACTACTGGACAGAGGTTTATTTCAATTGCAGAATGTACACCAGGGCTTGTACACCAATGTCAACATAGTAATTTATGCCTAAATTAAGTAGCTTAGGGGGATTAAGCAGGAGTTCAACACAGACATCAAAAATTTGTATGGTCAATTTATTTATTGCATAATTTAAATATTCATTCTCAATATCATCAGAGGCTATTACATTCGTATGAAGGCTGTTGACAACATGCTTCGCATATTCCTTACCTCAAAGGAATTTGACAAAAAACAGGTAAGATTAATCATATGTTTATGAATATTCCAATTACTCATGCTGTTAGGAGTAAGATATAATTTAGGATACTGTATTGCCCAATTTCTGAAAGTCCAACTCGATTTTTTAGGTGATTTCTTTAGGGGCAGGATTTGACACATCATTTTTCAGATTCAATGCTGAAGGCCTTTTACAAAATTCTTGCAAATTTTATGAGGTAAGATAAGTTTTACATGCTACAGTATATATCTTGGTTAAGTTCTTCATCACTTTGTAATGGATATAATTTGACAGATTGATTATCCAGATGTTGTCAAGATAAAGAAATCCTTCATCAAAAATGAACCATCACTGTGCAGTGCAGTAGGAGCTGAAAACCATAGCTGTCCTGGTGTTGAAGGTGAGTTTAGTGATAGTAGCTTKTAATAAACAAATAAACTAAAAGAAAACTAAAAAGAAACTGTTTTAAAAAGTTGTCATCGTCAAAGGCGATAGGACATTCTGAAACAAAAAATGGTTTCGTCAACTACAAACAACATTGAATCTCAACACTAAGGCCCATGTTCTTGACGAGAATAAGAAGCAGAAACACAAGTCATTCCAGCTATTCTTGGATCTTGGAATGACCTATCTCCTTTTGCTTTTCGCCTTTAGTATCGCCTTTGGTGATGACAAAGTTTTTTTAAATAGGTGTAAACAGATCATGTTTATTGGTTCAAAGTCATCAAGCAAAGACAAATGAATGGTTCTATTCAAAGAGGGATCTTTACACTGTGGTGCACAAAAGTATGACCACCAATAATATATTATATAATTTCGTCTTGGCCTTCATGGGATTGTCTTATCTCTGATCTAAATGCTAATTGGAGAATTGCAATCTCAACAAAAGCATGGAATTACATTATTGGTGGTCACAATTTTGAACTTTGCACTGTAAGTYCCTCCACTCAAAGAAAATATCCCATGAAGAGAGGAATGGAATGCAATACCATGCTATCTTCCTAAGAAAATGTCTATGTATATGAGAGACTGAGGTATTGGCTAATTTCTTTGAATTTTTAATATATTTATCTCTATAGGTTTACATACAGATAGATACACACTTGTTGGATGTAATTTAAAGGACCTTGCAAGTCTAGAAAAAATCTTGTTGAATTGCAACATCGATAAATCTTGCCCTACTCTTCTCTTGTCAGAGGTTGTACTCTGTTATCTAGATGCTAAAAGGTACTGTAACTAAAGTTATTGTTATTAGTAAGAATTAAATATTTTTTAGATAAATTTTTATTTTATTAAATAATGGGGGGGGGGGGAGGGGGCTTGACCGAATTTTCCTTGACTTGTCAGTAACTGCTCATTTTACTGTAAATCCATTACTTTGATCAAATAAAACTATATATGGCTGAAGAGGGGGGCTACAGCCCTGAATCTGAATTCCTACCTGAATCCACCCATGATGTTGAATCTCTACTGTTAGTTGTTCACAGTCAAAATTAAGATATTCAGAGGATGTTCTGATTTAGGTTTTTGATTTGTTTAACAGCTCTTCTTGTGTTATCAACTGGGCAGCTACATTTTTTTCTTCTGCTGTTTTTGTCACTTATGAGCAGGTAGTTCTGATTAAAACTGCTAAAACCTGGTTCTAACTAGCGACCCAAGAACACACAACCCATTGTTCTCACTATGAAAAGAAACGACACAAGTGCAAGAGAACGGAAGATCTTGATTTTCTTGGCTTGACCTTGTACTTATGCTTAGGCTGCTAGTGAGAACCAGACTAAATGTATTTAATGCATGGTCAGTGCAAAATGCAACCTTTAATATGTTCTCATTTACTGATGTAAGTCTAATACTGAATATTCTAGGTTTTCCCAGATGATCCATTTGGTGTTGTCATGTAAGTACCACCATAATATGTGTCTTTTTTAATCGTCTTTATTTAGAGCCAGAGGTTGACACATGACAGTTTGCCAAGTTAACACTGAGTGAGACGGGACCACAAACATGGTCATCCTTGCCACAGTGAAGGTCTTACCATTTGCAGATATCTTAAGAGCAAAGGCAGCACCTTCTACTCCAACCGGGAAGTGGTCAATATACGCATACTTTTCGATGCATTTTGGCCTTGCATCCACACTAAAATGATCGAAAACGTATACATTTGAAAACGCTCTCCAGAGTGGAGACATTTGAAAATGAAAGCCTATCGTATGCGTGGACAAGCGATAACGAAGGTTTTTGGAAATGCTGGCGTTATTCAAACCGGCACGTCTGTTTTTCTCATACAGATGAAGATATTTCAGCTTTTCCTATCGTATTTGCGTCTTTGATTGCTTTATCCTTGACTGGTGAAAACGCTATTACAATGCTAGTGTGAACGTGAAGCTTTTGTTCCGTTTTTGGTGAGAATGAAAAAACCGAGCGTTTTCTAAAAACTACTACTTGTAGCATGATAAATCCTCTATTCCCATCTTTTTTAGGATAAAGCACTTTCATCAAGTTGGTTCTCCGTTACGTAGCATCACAGAATTCCCAACTCCTGAAGTTCAAATACATCGATACCAGAAACAGGTAAGCCATTGTCTCCTCTTTAAAGACTTGAGCTGGAATGAGAGGATTTATATTAGCCACTGCTTAGTAATTCCCCATGGTAAAATACTTCCATGTTTGTACATCAAGTGAACTAGGTTCAGTAGATTCATCCATCCACCCACCCCCTACTGAGATTCATTCATCCATCCACCCATCTACCCATGCTTCCACCCACCTAACCATGCATCCACATACCAACCTACCCATTCATCCACTCACCCACCCACCCATTCATCCACCCACCCACCCACCCATACATCCTTCCACCCACCTAACCATGCATCCACATACCAACCTACCCATTCATCCACTCACCCACCCACCCATCCATCCATCCATCCATCCATCCACCCATCCATCCATCCATCCATCCATCCATCAGCCAATTCATCTCTCCTTTCCAATAAGACATCCATCCACCCATCTACCCACCCACCCACCTACCCATATATCCAAATACCAACCTACCCATTCATACACCCACCCACCCATGCATCCATTCATCAACCTACCCTTGCATCCACCCACCCACCTACTGTTGGCCCCTTTCATCCACTTTTTCATCCACCCACCCGTCCATCCACTTACACACTCCCTCGTTGCTTCACTGATTCGTTCATATATTTTTCATCTTGTCAGAGATGGGATTTGGTGAAATATCAAAACATGGTGTCCTTCTACAAGTCTTTGCCTACTGATGAACATCAACGTATACAACAAATAGAACCATTTGATGAGTTTGAGGTTTGTAGCCTGATACACATTTGTATACATAGACATTTGCTTCAGTAGAACAGTTTTCGTATGACTCTGAAAGCTCGCGGTACGGACACGCAGTCGTGATACGGCATACTCCAGACCAATCACAATACCCAATTTACTCTCCACCCAAAGAAACTAAGAAATAACCCTGATGTTGGAAATGACACTAAACCCCAAATCGATCATCTGTACATCACTGTAAATGGGGTATTAAAACAATTATCGTCCTTGAAGCCAAACAAAGCCTCCGGCCCATAATTTACTCTCCTTCCAAACAAATACCCGAAACACGACGCGAACACGGCGCGCCCCCGGTCACGCCAAGGTCGCGCCACTGCCTAAGTAAAGGGACAATTATTGTATTTGCACCTTGAGTAGGGCTAATACGAATAACTGTAATAACTGTAGGTGACTACACCACTGTCAAACGCCCCACACTGCCTGCTTGCTACATAATAGTGCCATTGCCAAAGAGAATGACAAAGAGTTTTCAATAGCCATATTTTATATTAAGTATCGTTCCCCTCCCCAAACCCAAACATATCATGTGTTACCATGCTTTTTGATTGCTTCAGAACACAATTTACTGGATGACTGGTCCAGTACGTTTCCTTGGCAATAGAGGTTTTGCACCATCACGTGACGGCACTCATGTTAGATGGCAGGAACAATACAATCGTTTTACATAAGAAAGAATTTAATTCCCAATAGCAAAGGGATTTTATTGTTCTGCCATCTAACCACAGGCAGTCCAAGCTGGATTATGGCGCAGGCACGTGATGGTGCGAAACTTCTATTGGTTTTTGAATCGATTTTTCTTTCCACAGGAATGGGACTTAAAGTGCTTCCATTATATTATCTTGGCTGGTTTCAAAGGAGATTGTAAGATGCTTTCACAAAAAATGTATCCAGAAAATAATGGTAAGCTTGCTTGTGTCCTAGTTCTCCATCCATCCATCCATCCATCCATCCATTCATTCTTTCTCTCCTTTCTCTCATTCACTCACTCAATCAATCACGATGAATCAGTCAACCAATCCTTAATCAAACGTTTTCGTGTTTGTTTTCCAGAACATAATGAGTGTAGTAGTACTATGGTCAAAGACCCAGCGATGATAATTCCAACTCCGTTAAAATTAGCATCTAAGAACAAGTTTCAAAGGTAAACATTCAGCTTCTCATAATAGATTCCCACTTATCTAAGAAAATACGTCGACGTACTTGCAATAGCAGAATAAATTTTTCTGGAGCACCAACAGGATAAAAGAGAAAAGAAAGCATTACTCTTAGGCCACGTCCACACTAGTGCGCTTTCGAAACGCTCCGTTTTTGTGTCACCGAGAACGCATCGACAGATCCACGTCCACACTATCGTTTTCATAGCGCTTTAACTCACCCGCTCACACTAAAACGATCAAACGCAGAAACAATTGAAAATGACACACTATAATCGTCATCTGCGCATGCGAAAAACAGATGAAGTGGCGAGAACGTTTTCAAAAGCAACCGTTTTAGCTTTTCACCAAACAAGATAGACCTCGGCTTCCGTTTTCAAATGTCTCCACTCTGGAGAGCGTTTTCAAATGTATGCGATTTCTAACTTTTTACGGAGTTGACGCAAGGCATCGAAAAGTATACGTTTTCAAACAAAAGCGCGTTATAGYGTGGATCGATCAGGAGCGCAAATACTAATGTTTCTGTTGGAGTAGAGTCACTCTTCTTCTCTTCAAGCAAAACTGATTTTCTTACATAATGGCAAAACGTTTGATGGTTGCTCCACTTTCATAGTCATGTCTATCCAATTTTTTTTTGTTTTTCTCTTAAGTTTTCGTTCTTCTCCTTCCCATTTAAAAATTTTTTAAATTAAATTTTTAAAACTAGAAAATTGCAGCATGGAAATAATAACGCAGCTAGCATCCTTGGTGTTGTTTTTTTTATAGATACGGACACAGTGCGACGTTGTTACCTGGTGGAGACGTGATTATCATCGGTGGATTTGGTGAACTTAACAATAAACACATGAGGCTAAAAGGCATTAATATCTTACGTAAAGAGACAGGTAAACACTTTCATTTWTTTTTTTTATTTCATTTAATACCATTCCTTATTTACATTGTTTTGTCGCAGAAAAGATTGCTACTGTTCAGTGATATCTTTCATTCTGTTGTTCGCGTGGTTTTACTGTGTTCCCGGACCTACCTTTACATACCTTCAGCATGTCTTCAATGTCAAGACCTTTAAGCACCAAAAACGTCTCTAGATACTCGCGTCTCACCTCTGCATGGGGTCTAGGGTTCGATGCTTGGAGATCGTTAGGTCTATTTCTTAATTGGGGTTTTTTTCCGAGTTCTCCGGTGTACCTTCCTCCGCAAAGCCCAACTAGCTAAACTGCCTGAAATTCCAATTCGATCTGTATGTCAGCCGTGCCCTCACTAGCAAGGTTTTGAATGACAGTTTGTCCTGACCTCGACGACCAGTCAAAGAGGTCAACGTTGAAGCGCATTTTACTCATTTATAAATCTTGGTCTTACTAACCGCATTTATGCTTCCTTTCCAGACGTTTGGAAGTGTAAAGACGCAATACTCACAGATGATATCGTGATTGGTGAGTGCGACGCCATAAGACCAGCAAAAAATCCTTGATTTTTGCCGTGAGGGCAAAAAAGGCCGTGAATTTTTACAGTCGTAAAAAATACTACAGAATTCAGACAGTATAAAACTTATTCACACGATGCTTACTGCTTTATACTCTGTTACATTGATATTTACAGGCATTTCATCTCATTCCAGGGTCCAGAATGTTTCATTCTTCTACGTTAATCAATGACAACTCCATCCTTCTGTACGGTGGCAGGACTTCACCCAACAAACCTTGCACCTCGACTTGTATATTAAAAATAGAGCAACGCGGTAAAACACTATCCAGTACAAAAAACAATTTACCGTCTGATGAGCATCTTGATCAACAACTTACTTCTGGTCAAACATTCGATACTCCAAACTCAACCAGTCCATTGAATAATATAGTTGAGCGAAACTCAGATAAGACCAAAGTTTATAACAACGAAGATGGAACAGTTTGTACCTTGACTTTGCTGGATCCACAGGGATCAGGGCCGATTCCAAGATGGAGGCACACGGCTACTAGATTACTCATGGATCATGGTAAGAACAAAACCAACAACGCAATATCAGTTTCCATAAATTTACTGTATTTTTGACCCAAATTCCTTGTTTCGACTAGAAACAGTTGGTTAAGGCCAAAAGAGTGAAACTGTGATATCTGCTATCAGGTGATTTGGAATCTACTGAAGCGCGCAATGCATTGTTGTCAACACAAAAATTCTCAAGTATTGTTCGATCATTTGTACGTTACGTCATCGCCGCCATGTTGGTGGTATTTCACGACAGATTTCTCATTAGCTTTCATCGTTATACTCCCATCATGRCCGCCATGTCTTTGTCATTTGACTTCCTTGTAAATGCTCGTAAACCATCAATATTCCTTGTCAGAAACGAGACGGGGTTGTCGCGCGGGGACTGTGAACTGGGTTACCATATTCTCGTCTTTCACATCCCCATAATCCTTTGCGTCTTTGGGGGGTAACCAGAGGGTAAAAACCCATTTATTTTGCTGAAGGCTGATCAGACAATGTTGAAAATACCTTGTTTGGTATCCAAAGACAAAATGAAGAAGTAAAAAACAGAAAAAGATAGAAGCTTGAAGACGTTTCAGGTATATTTTAAACATTTTTTCGTAAGTCAATACATTTTCTGTAAGACCAAAAACTCTTGATGATCTGTACACGCAAAAATAACTTGGAATAAACTGATGATCAGTATTGTTCAGATAAAAGCAGGTATAGTATAAATTCAATTAAGAAACCTTTCAATTTGGGACAGTTTTTTGATTGGTTACCCCAAAAACACAAGGCATTATCGGGATGTAAAGGCCAAGAATAAACGGAAGTTACTAGAATATTATAGACATACGTGTGTTATGTTTTTATTATTATTACTTTATTTATTTTTGTTTCTTTTCTGTCTTTTCTCATAGAGGAAAAAGAGAAGGTCCTAATCTTTGGAGGACGTACACCAACACGACTGGCCATCAATGACTGTTATATATTAAACATTACAGACAACAAGTGGGAGGAGGTAGGGATAGTCTTACTAATTATATTTATTGATACAATGCGTTCCTGTTCATTGTTTCTTTCATAGAGTATTATGACTTTCTTTAACGGTCATACAAAGAATCTTAATATATAATCTTTCCCAGGTCGAGGGGAAAACTGGGTCGAGTTGGCACTGCGATAAATTCAACTTGGATTGTGTTATGGTCACCAAAAAGTTCGGCCATTGTTCTCGGATTCCCATACAAATTCACTGACTTTAAAGAGAAAAGATAGATAAATTTCTTTAGTTAGCTCTCTTAACAGCAGTAAGAAAAGCTTCAATCAAGCTAGAAAAATGATTTCTTACTTGTATTCAGAGAACTAACTAAACAAACCAAGTAAATAGTTCATTTAAAGTCAGTACATTTGTATGGAAATTCGAAAACAATTTCCGAACGTTTTGGTGACCGTAACACGATTCAAAACAATCTTATACCACGTGACGGCTAGCGCCGAAAAGGTGAATTGCGGGGCTGTTTTAGAAGACATTTTCAAGATGGCATCTATTTTGTCACATGAACCAGCCCCATAATGTATCGCAATCCCAACTCAACCCAGTGTTTTCCTCGACATCGAAAATGAAATTGGAAAACAAAGGCGCGCGTACTATGCTTTCGCTTGAATTTTTCATGGCTTGTCCTTCCGTCCGTCCGTCCGTCCGTCCATCCATCATAGACCAGTTGCTGTTCTCTTAACCATGATCCATCTTATCCATCTCAAAACTCCTACACAAATAAAAATCCCAGTGATAGAAAGCAGTAGACAAGGAACTACGACACTCATCATGAATGCTAAATCCTTCGACATACACTGAAACACCAACTGTCCATTACTCTTTACATTCATTTTCCGAAATATGTCATGAATATAAATCATCTCTGTAGGACCCAATCGATGCCCATAAGTAAACGTATTTAAAAAGAAGCATTCGTTAAAGCTATGAAGTTCTGTAGAGCTGACAGCGTTCAAACGAAGTCGAAATCCATCATGATCTAACGGACGGACTCCGAGATAATAAACCATCATTCCAATGTACACATCTTCAATCCATAATGGCAGAACCAGCGACTTGCGTCAAGAATGCGTGACACTAGGTCACGCGAGAGAATGTACGACAATCCAGTGCACCAAGACGGGAATGAGTTCTGAGGGTATAAATAATAGCTTACGAAAAATTTCGAGGTATTCTTTCTCGATGGACTCTCCCTTCGGATCACATAACCAGAATAGAGATCTTTAGGGATTTTGGAGTGTTTGTTAATAAGCCACATGGATAAGAGTGGTACATTTACATAAACATCATCATCGGCTTTCAAGACATATTTACAGTCTATCGACAAAGACCATTTGAAAGCCATTAAAATTTTCAAGGTTAACGTCTTGTACGAGTCCGTAAAGTTTCCAAGTAATATGTCATTTTTCGTTGTTATTTCATTCCGTATGTCTTGAGTAGTGTCTTGAGAAGACGAAGTTCCAATGACAAAAGCCGTTCTGTACTTTTTTTCCCTCAACACCTGTGGCCTTCTACCGACGAAGTCCCAGTTGTTATCTCTTCCCCAAGTTTCTCTAATAGCATTTCTCTTTTGTACTTTATTCGGTGAGCTTAATACGAGAATTATCAATAAGAATCGCGAATCGTTAAAGCCACACGGAGTAATAACAGGTTCGTGAATAGGTAAGTAAGATTGATTCATTCTTCCATTGTTTAGTGAATCTTTGCGACTATTATAAGAAAAGTAGTCTTTTATCCGCAATGTTGGATCTAAAAAATGTTGTACGACCATATAAACGATCCATGCCAAGATATTCACTACTAGAAATCCAGTTGAAAGCTTTTTACGTCGTATAATTCGACCAAATATTCTGGTGAAAGCCGCCATCAATGTGTTGAAACGGTGCAGTGATTCGCATCATTCGCAACTGTGTTATAATTCGCAGCGTCGTAGACTCTATGAATTGATAATTAGTACTAAATTGTTTTCAAGGAGACGCGCATCAGCAGCTCTATAAGATGTGTAAATAAAACAATCTTTTTTTAATGTATTTTTATCAGTATTTCAAAATTCATATTAAAAAATACTACTACTGTACTGTGCAGTCGTTTCGCGGGGCTCTCAGGGGATAGTTAAGGTGCTGACACACGGTGCAACATTGCACGCAACATTGCATGCAACAAATTTGAATCGGGGTGACACACATTGCAACAAAATCACGCTTTAACATCGCTTGTGTCAGCCTGTTATGTTAAGATATATGGTCAGAAGTTATAAATTTGGTGGAAGCTGATTGGCTGGAAATTTCAAAATGTGGCAGGTAATGTTGCAGCCATGTTCATATGATGAAATTTGTTGCGTGCAATGTTGCAAGAGTAGAGCGCGATTCAACTTCAGATTTGTTGCATGCAACAAGTTTGGGGTAGACACACTCTGCAACAGTCCGGTTTCGTGCAATGTTGCATGCAATGTTGCACCGTGTGTCAGCACCTTTATGGGAACTCGTGGAGCCAATCACTGAACCGTAAAATACTCACCTCATCTCTGGGGTCTTGGGTTCGATTACTGGACTCCTCCATCACATGTGAGTAAAGTTTGTTAGGTTTCTCTCTTGATTCAAGGGTCTTTTTCTAAGTTATCCAGTTTGCCTCCCTCTGCAAAAACAAACACGCTAACTTTCAGCTCTTTCAGTTCCATTTGGCTCATCTGTGAGTTAGCCTTGCCCTGACTTTGATCAGCCCAGAGGTTGTTTCAGGGTTCGATCTGTGAGTTAGCTATGCGCTGACTTTGATCAGCCCAGAGGTCGTTTCAGGGTTCGATCTGTGTGTTAGCCGTGCCCTGACGTAGATCAGCGCAAACCGGGTTGTTTTAGGCTCAATCAGTGATTTACCCGTGACCTTTTGATCAACCCATTATGATCAAAGGTTGAAATCTCTCAACAGGCTAAGCTACAAGGTGAGCCCGCAGTCCCACGTCACTCACACACTGCTTGTCTATGGAGGAACCATCACGTGATACTGGCCGGGGGACTGGACAAATACTCTACTGCTCTAAATTTACTCCAAAACATTAATACTGCGGTGAGTTTAGCAATGTAAAGAAATCCTAGAATATAGAGTGTGTGCAATCATGTGTCTCGAAATCCCTTGAGATATGAATAACAATGAAACAGCCGCCATGTTGGTTGATCTAACAAGAGAAGCTAAAGGACGATTTTTGAGGGGGGGGGNGGGGGGGCGGGGGTTGGGCAAAAAAAAAAATTCAAGCACACACAGTTTTAATGAGTGATTAAAAAATGCGCAGAAAAGTGCCAGAAACAAATTCCACATTTTGTTCCAAAAAATTCCTGCCCAGCCATGAGACGTAGAAAAAATTTCCTGCACAAAATAAATTGCCTACTCAAAAATCTAATGGTCCGTCCTTAATGAGGAACGCTTTGTTATCGTCAACCAAGATGGCGGCAATGACGTAACATGCACCTGCTGTATAGAATAGTGTGAAGTTTCTCGAGTTTTTTCATTCATGTCTTGTTTATTTTCCTATTTGAAGGATTTTACACTGAACACCTTGACGATAACTCCTCCTCTAAGACCAAGGTAACAATACCCCTCTTTACTGTTGGTGTAATGTATTCCCATTTCAGACCGCGTGTCATTCCCTTAAGAATAGGATTTTTTGTTAAGTTGTTTTCATTTTCATTTGTCTTCTCGTGTGCAACTGTTAAATAAAGAAATGATACTCTAGGGAACGACATGCACGTGCCGTCTGAAATTGAAAACATTGCACCCAATTTGGAAAGATCTGTTCCTTAGAAATAAATTAACAAACGGGTCGCTTAAAGTCTCAGGTTTTTCAAGAAACAGTAGACATTTCCTGAGTGTGTACTGTCTTTGTATACTTGTAAGTTGAAAAACTTAAGCCTCTGGCCCGGGTCTGGATAGGGAGACTCGGCAATGACTCCCCGGTTCTCAAAGGGCTGGATGGACAAATTCTGCTGCCACTAGAAGCATCAAAAATCCGTGATAAATGATCAAACTATAAGGAGTCAGATACGATGAAAAGGGTTTCGAGTAGGGAAAGCATCGTTATAAATCCAAGTTTTGGACCAAAGACGACGAGATGTAGAACTACAATATTTCGACTTTATTCACAATCATGTATGATGTAGTTCTACATCTCGTCGTCTTTGGTCCAAAACTTGGATTTATAACGATGCTCTCCCTACTCGGAACCCTTTTCATCGTATTTTACTTAAGGTGGCTGGACCCCCTCACGCTTGACCGCTACCTTCCACTTTTGGAACGCTGGTGCATAAACGTTTCTTATCCGATTGCAAATCTTTTTTGCACATAAGTCACATAAGGAATGAATTAATGTTTGATGCAATTTTTAATGAGATCGGATGTATGGAGTATCGGAGTATGGTTCTTTATTTAAACTCAAAAGTCTTGCTCGCTTCTTTCTTGAAGTTTTTATTTGAGGCATGTTCGCCGATTCTATTCACTCACACTGACGGCAAAGTACATCATGACAAATGTCCCACGCTTGAATAAAAAAAACTGTTTATTACCAAACTTCGCGGGAGTAAATCGGAAAGCAGCCAAGCGAGATGAGACCGTGCATGGTACGAAAGAATTTGATGTTATGATCATTAGCAAACAATAGAATTCCCAGAGCATCAAATCGTTGGGAAAGGGAAAATATTTTCTGTATTTCTCGTTCGCTTTAGATCGCTTTAAATGAGTTCAATAGTCTTTCAATTTTGTGTAATATTAGTTTAAGTTCTAATTTGTATCCTGACGTAGTTTTGAGAGAAATGATCAGCGAATTTTAGAATAATGGAAGATCTAGTAAGATTGACTAAAACACTGCGATGAAAAGTGCGCATCAAATGTTTACCCCGTCTT